CAATCTCTACCCCCTTCCTATTAATTTCAAGTTATCCTCAAGTATGAGTCCTAGCAATGCAACAGAGAAGATGGAGATGTCTCGAGTACAGTACGAATCAGCAGTGAGTAGCTTAATGTTTGCTATGATCTGTATAAGACCAGACATTGTATGTATGAATTTCTCTGTGTGTGTGTGTGTGTGAGATATATATATATATATACACACAGAGAGAGAAGATAGAGCTCGTGAATTAAGCTTGCTATTGAGTCAAATCACACCGTTGTCTTCGACAGGCTTCGAAAGAGTGTATAGAGAGAGAGAAAGAGATATTTTATTTATTATTATTATTATTATTGAGAGGACAAAACGGAAAGGATTTTTAGTCCGAATCAGTGTACTACAGGTGGCAATTTGAACGAGGGAAAATTGCACTAACTGGTCTTCAATTTAGTGCCCTATAGCAAGTTGATCATCGACTTTTAGAAAAGATATCAATATGTACTCTTATCAATCAAATTCTATTTGTCTAATTCTTTTAGTCATTGGCAAGAGAGGAGAGGAAGAGCGAGTTCGGTAATACAGTAAAGTCAAGCGATCAAGCACTACAAAAGAAAGTACTTGCAAGCATTATTAATAGGAACAAGTTCGTAACAGAGCAAATATTGCTCTTTTGCATTTTCATTGTTTGCCTTTTTCATAGCATCTGTTAAAAGCTGATCCTCATCTTAATATGGTTACACGATAAATTGTTAATGTTATACACGGTCCAAATCTTCATTTCATTGGCATATGATGTGAGCTGGAAAATGGGCCTCAATTCAATTTTTTTAGGGATTGAATCAAGTTGAGAATTGGAACCTAGATTAGTTAGAAGTGTGTATGCGAGTCACGAGTACAACATAATGAGTAAACATAATTTGGAATGTCGGTCATTAGAAATTGGCAACTGATTGTCCAAATACAGTAAAAGGTTGAGGATCAATTTACTTTCTTTTAAAGATTGAGGCTCAACTTGGTACTAGAGCGATAAAATGGGGACCAATAGTGAAACTTTCTCTAAAAAAATACAAAATGACGACAATGACCTTGGTATTTAAATTACGAAACTGCCCTTCAGGGGTGGTGGACAATTATGGAGTGCACGAGAACGATTTCTTGTTTACACACGTGGTGGAATATTATTGAATATTATGTAAATAGGGGCAAAAGCTCTTGGGTTGAGTTGGATTTGTTTTTAACCAAACCCAAATCCAATCCAATATGTTCGATTTGACAATAATTCAAACCGAAATTAACTAATTCACGGTTGAAACTCAACCCAATCTAAACGAACCAAACTCGGGTTGGTTTGGGTTTTTGGAATGAGTTGATTGGTTTGAATTTGAATCCAATTTAAGTTGGACAATTTTTTTATGGACCCAATGGTTGAGACATTTTTTTGTCGACAAATTTCAATTACATTAAACAGGATGATTTGAAAGCCTTAAGTCAATTGAAGTTGGATCAATAATCTGTGGGTAAGCTTCATTCCAATAGAATAATATAAATTAAAAATATTATAAAACTTGTTAAATAGACTATATCATGATAAAATTAAATACATATTAAATCAATCTAAATGCAGGTTGAATACTTACATATTATATATATTGAATAAAATGAATTCAACATAAATACTAAAATTGTTAAATCATCCAAACTCAACACAAAATCTCCTTCAATTCAAGTGTTTAGTTAAAAATCACGTCAACAAATCAAGTTAAAAAATCGAGGCACGAGTAGCAATGAGAGGCAGAAAAAAATGAGGCAGAGAACAATTTTGATCATTCGGTTTTAGATTTTTGGTATTAACTACTAATTTTATTTTTAATATTTTTTAATTTATTGGATTGAGTTTTAATAGATAACCCGGAACCCAACCTAACCCTTTCTAAAATTTGATTTTGTAACCCAAACTCAACCCCAATTGAACAAAAAAACCAATCCATACCGGTTGATTTGGATTGAATTGATTGATTTATCCGGTTCAGATTGATTTTTGTCCAACCTTACTCGTGGCCACGAGTGAATAAGTTAGATTGCTGTTGACACGCCATGGGCTTTTGATTTGTTGTAGTAGTTGACCTCTAGGTGACCAAGTCATGGAACGGCCCGGATTGTAGTCTGTGGCCCAATCATATGTACCCAAGTTTCCATCCAGTAATTTGATAAGAATAGTTTGAGTAAGCTGTTCACAGTGAAAATTATTAATAATCGTCATACGTGATATATACATGATAATTTGTTATTTGATACACGAGACAATAAAAAATTATCACATTAATACACTAAATAAAAAATTGTCACGTATATACCACGTAGAACGACTATCAGTAGTCTTTACTATAAATAGTATTTTTCGAATAGTTTAGTGGAAATTACACCCACACTTACATTTAAATATTCAACTTCAAAAATCAATTTATAACTTTTGTTTTTTTTTTCAAAAATCAGGTTATAGTTATTATTTTTAATTTAAAAATAATAATTATATATCAATCCCTCAACTAACAACCATACACACCCAAATCCCAAACCCTGAAAATCTCATATCTTATTTTCTTCTTTGCACTATATATACGAGTCAATTTCTAGAAAAATCAATTCTTACATTTTACATAATAACTTATAATCCTCCATTATTGATATGAATAAATTCTCCTTGTCTACTTGATATATTTTTACCTCTTACATATGATATATTTTCCCTAGTCGAGACTTTATACGTGTTTAATAAACGTGCTAATACCCTTATATTTTAAATAACATGTACAATTGTTGAAGGATTGGCCGCTAATAGTAATCGATTTTTGTTGGTAACACTATCGCGTATAAAGTTTTGCTTGTCAATATTTACTATTTAGCAGCATTTGTAATTTTGTATTAGAGCACGAAAGGGCACTTGTGATGCAAATTAATACTTATCTTAATTAAAGAGTCAAAAGAGTCGTACGGTCATTGTGCACACGCAGTATATATCTTTTGTTACATCTATTAATTACATGACATGTGCATGACAAATGAGATTCCATATTGGTCAATTTAGCATCGATTATTCAATTGAATTGAATTTAGGGATAATTACAGTAAAAGTTCCAAACATTTGAAATATTAGCAGACTTTTTCAAAACCTTTGATTTGTTGTAGCCGTCACCCCTAACATTTTTAAATGTTGCAGGTGAAACCATTTTGAACAGTTTCCATTCATAATTCTATCAATTGACAAAAAATTTAACTTTGACCACATTTTAAAATTTTTTAAAAAGGGACAAAATAGTAAATTTCTATTTACCACATTAAATAAAAAAATAAAGGTTGTACATTTTGTGCGTCAACAACCTGACACTATCACACCGCAGCCACTACCACAACACCACCACCACTAGATCTAATACACTCCCACCAAACATCCTTATTCTTTAACCCAGGAATGACACTCAAGAATTTCCAGTGCTTGCGAATCTTAACCTTCTTTACTCTTTTAATGGAATCAATATCATCATAAAGGTTGTTCTCACCGGCACAGCTTGATTCCTCACCACCCTCGTAATTTTGTTGACTAGCCATTTTCACTGGACCTCCCATGTCCACCAGTGATGATTTCTTATACCCACCATCAAGCAAAACCACTGCCCAACCAACAACAAAACCTCCGCCACAACCACCTCACCGCCACAACCACCAACACTGTCGCCACCACTACTAGAACGCCGCTAGTTGTGGACAGTTGCTCTCAAATCAGATCCAAACACCTTTGATCGCTTCTCAAACAGTCTTTTTCGTCTTCCTCTACCCCGCTGAATGTTTCTTCTTGACATTGCCTTCCCCCGACTCTGATGGCTACGCCACAATCGAAGGCTCGATGGATCCGCCAAAAACGCGTCGCGACTTCCATCAACGCATGGTGGTAGTGGTGGTATCTTCACATCAGTCCGGCGAAGAGATAGAAGGAGAAGGAGCGCGGCGGTGGCAGCAGTGGCGGTGGGTGAGGAGGGAACGGTTACTGAAGAATGGGGAATGGAAAGGTTTAGGTTGTAATTTAATTTAGGGTTTGGAGGGGGGTGTATGTATAGATTGATATATTATTATTATTATTATTATTAAATAATAATTTATATTAATTATCAATTAAAACCTGATTTTTGTATAATTAAACTTGATTCCTTATTTATGAAAATGGAGATCTAAAAACCTTTCTAAGTGTAATTTCCTCATTAGAAGACCCTATCCCTATTATACACCACCAAAATCGCGTCACACTACCATTGTCATCGCCTGCACCGTAGCACCAAAAAAACAACCAACCACTGCCACAATAACAACACCGTCTGCAACGACACCGCACCTCGTCGAGACCATCACCAGATCTGCCGCCAACAAACAAATCCAACGCTACAGCAGCGACCGCCACCCAAACACCACCACCCCCATCCACCACCAACTGAAAACACACGCAAAAACCACATCAATTGTGGAGCTGCAGATCCCGACCATGGCAGACAGATCCCGGCCATAGCGGCAGACCACAGCCTTCATTTGAACCCAACCAGCACCAGCACCAGTCAATCGTGCGGCGCTGCATCCACCTTCATTTGAACCCAACCAAACCCTAAAATCCTCTCCACTCTCAGCTCTCATATCTTGCAGCCTCTTCATTCTGAAGTAGGCAACAACATTATGAATGTGTGACGCAGCGACGCTCAGATCCGCCAAAAACGCGTCGCGACTTCCAGCATCGCGTGGTGGTAGTGGCGGCATCTTCACATCAGTCCGGGGAAGAGATTGAAGGAGAAGGAGCGCGGCGGCGGCGACGGCGACGACGGCGGTGGCAGGGACAATGGGTGAGGAGGGAACGGTTACTGAAGAGAATGGGGGGAGGGAAAGGTTTAGGTTGTAATTTAATTTAGGGTTTGGAAGGGGGTGTATGTATAGATTAATATATTATTATTATTATCATTATTAAATAATAATTTATATTAATTATCAATTAAAACCTGATTTTTGTATAATTAAACATGATTCCTTATTTATGAAAATGGGAATCTAAAAACCTTTCTAGGTGTAATTTCCTTCTTTTTAAAGGCAAATTATAGGGCCCAATGGGGGCAGTTGCCCCCACTGGGCCCTTTATGGGTCTGCCCCTGCCATCAATCCGACAGTGCAATATATTTAGCCTCATTTTCTAAAAATTCATTTTTTTTTTCAAATTCATTTTGATTTTTCTCTTATTAAAATAATTACGCAGGTAAAATCAAAACTTTTTCTTATTTCTTAACATGTTCTCCCAAAAAAATATAATTACAATACTCATGATTTTCATTAAAAATAAAAATAAAAATGGGGCTCAAACATAGCCTTAGTTGACTGCAAAAGGGAAAAAAGAATAGTTTTGAAGCAGAAGTCGCAAAGAAAAGCAGAACTTGCCCGAAGGTGCAATTGCAAATGCTTTTTTTTTTGTTTTTAATTTGTTGTTTGTTCGCCTTTGTGTTGTTCATTTATTGTGAATTGTATATTATTTCAGTATAACCCCATGTTATAGTTTGATTTGATCAAAATCCCTAAAATTATCTTTGTTTGCAAAAATCATATCCAGAAAACTTCAATTGTCGTAACCTTGATGTTATGTTCTAATGTGTATATACTGATTGTGGTAAACATTTTTTCTATGTATAAGAAAAATGTTGTTATGCATAGATGAAACACTAGTGTAACAGACTTATTGTGAGGGTGTATTAAGCAATATGTAATATATTAAATTGTTTAAAAATTATTATTATTATTATTTTAAGCTCAGAATTTATGGCAAGGCGACCATGAGCTACATTAAACATTATTGAGTCAAATTAATATAAACTAGAACGGAAAACGAGATAGTTTGGAGAAGTGCAAGAACACAAAAATTATAGGGAAATAGAGATTACAAAGAAAACACGCTTCATATATTTGCGAGATGTATATAGGCAAATGACACCAACCGATTAGTTGAAAAACTTGAGCTTACACATTACGTAGAAAAAGAATATATAATTCAAGTTCATGAAGCAATTTATTAGTGAGCAAACTACCAAGAAAATATCAAGATGAAGAGATACATCCATATGGGAGAAGATTATTATTGTCAAGGGATACTTTCAGAATTCGAGTCTGAATGGACAACAACTAGAATGTGAATTATGAAAGCGTGGAAAGAGTGAAGTGGGACAATGGTAAACGTGAGGAACGCGAATGAAGTTCAACAAGCAAGGGTGTACAAACCTCTGGTGGAGCCAAGAGGTACTATAGACATTTTAAGCTTTAATATCCTATTCTATAGATGGTTAATGAAGTCATGAAAGTTCATAGAACTCACTTTTCTGGTGTACCCTGTTTTCTCAATAGTTGTCTTGAGGAGCTAAACACCCCCTTGTACTCTTGCAGTCATAAAAGACTGTAATTTTAATAGTATATACGAAACTCAAAGAAAGGGCCTACTTAGATATAACACACCATTCGACCTTAATGTTAGTAGGAAAGTCACTCGCATCCCCTACATTGATGGCATCTTGGAAGTATTTCTTCTTAATGACTGCCTGAAATCAAACAAAATAAAAGTTTAGAAAAGTCAAAATAAGGATGCAATAGAAACTCATCGGCACTAAACTTATGGACATATGACAGGCTGAAATCAAGAAAAATCAATTCTCGAAAATCACAAATTTAAGGAACTCTTTGACCCTAAGCTCATAAACATAATAGAAAATGCAATTTTGTAATGTTTTTCCAGGGTTAGCAATAGTCGTAGCAAAATTCACTCTGCATTTTGCATGGATACCGAAATATGATTATATAAAACTCAATTCAGTACATGCGTCCGACCTAATAATATAGGAATGCCAAATATCTATGTAGTAAAGAAGTAGAAAAATGCTAAACGACAAAATAATTGTAAAATTTCTCAATCAAAGATAATTCTACAAACCTGTATATATTCCCAAACTTGATGCCAAAAAGTTGTTCTATTCTCATCCATTATAAAATTTGAATTTGTTAGATATGCGAAATGTGTGTTGTCGAGCTTCAATGAATTTTGAAATCACCTTAGAATTGAGCATTTACTGGATCACAGGGTATTTAAGGGTTGGTTGACTGTAAATTGTATGATGTCGAGATGAAAAGTATGCTCTTTTGAAGGTTATTGAGATTCTTGATTACTCTCTTGCAATAAGGATATCATAAATATCATTTTGATTGGTTTTTCAATGTATATCATAGTTGTTAAATTGGAAAAAATGTACAATTGTCGTTTTGAAGCTGTAGTTGTACACATGCCTCATAATTTTCTTTACTTGCATTTATGAATTTGTGAAATTTCCAATATTAGGTTTTGCTTGATAAATTAGTATTGCTTCATATAAAGAGAGGCATTATTTTGGCTAGAGAATTTTCCATGGTGGAGCAATTAGTAGGGCATGATTAGTAAAATTATTTTTATATGGCGTAAACTTGGAAATTTTTCCACGTGTGTATATCTAAAATATCCATCTTTTAATAGAGCTTGGGTTTAACATGTTATGGTTAACTTTCTTTAGTCGTCTTTTCTAGTAAATTAAGGATGACAAAAAAAACCTTTGAACCCGATACTCGTGGGTCCCCTGGAACGGGGCAAGATTTACCCGCATAACTGAGTAAACGGGGTGGAGATGTGGCTAGAATCATTGATCCAAAACAGTTATTGGACGTGTATGAAAAACATAGTCCCAACTATCCGTCTCATTTAAAGTTAATTTCAAATTTAAATTTTTTATTAAACAAGAATAAAAGGTTCATCTTCATTTAAAAGAGAACATGGATTATTCTTAGTAAATTGGAAAGAAAAATATTTACTTGTTAAAGACGTAAAAAATAAAAGCAAAAATTTTAAAAAAAATAATAAAAAAGGGGCGATAAATGAGGCATGAGACCTACACCGCTTCGCTCCTCCCCGAACCCATCTTGTCCCATTTTAATCGGGGCAAGGTAACAAAAATACTGGATGAGACGGGGTGAAAATGACCGTCCGTCCCATACCCGTGCCTTTTATATAGTAAATAATGCATTTCAAATATGTCATTGTTAATTTGTAAAATTTAAAGGTATATCCGTCTAATATCAATTCACGATCAAGAATTATTAGTCCATTTCTAAACAAAGAAAAAGGTACATTTTTCTGGAGGGTTGGGCTGCCAACCTCTAATTCTAAAGCAAGTTGCTAGTTCCGATTAAAAAAGAAATAATAGAACACTAGAATTTTAAAATATTCTACGATGTTCCAGGGCGAACCAAGTGGTTTCAGCAATTGAGGAGGTTAAAATACAATATTGTAATAAAATTATTTGGGTAAAGTAGTTCAAACTAAACATGTAAATGTGTTGGTGCAGGGCTTGGTGACTCATCCTGTCCAAATGAGCATAGTAGTTAAATAGTTTTTTTGTTAAATATTATCTTTTAAAAAAGAAAAGAAAATTAAAAGCATCTCACTTACTGTCTTGGTACGTGAATTGGTACAAAATTTTAACTTATTTCACTGTATGTAACATGTAAGGTTTTATAACGAATATATGTAACCTTTTTAGTTGTATCTTCGACGGCTTTATTTTATTGTAATGGTGTTGTTTATTATTACGCATATTTTTTTTTTCTTTCTATATTTCTGGATCTTAGATTTTTCAGTTTTGTTGAGCTATTTGATGTTAAACTAACAATTTAGTATTGCTGATATTGGAAGTTTTTTTATATGCAAGTCTTATGGTTTGTAGTTTTGAAGTTTTTATATTTGATACTTTACGTGTGATATAGCATGTCATGTTTTAGTCATGCTCATACATTAAAGTAATATGTTAAGTATTTTAACAACATTAGAGATTTGAACATCATGGTGAAGCTTTTAAAGTTTAATAATTGATTCTAAAATGTGATATGTCAATATAACACGTGCATATAAATACATGATATCTTTGATTCGAAACTTTCACATTTTATTTAAGTGTGATATGTCAATTAGGACTGGACACTTTGCCATGTAGTCATCATGTACATCCTACATATGAAACAAAACCAGAGGAGGGAAACGAACAACGTTTCTTCAACTGAAACACATACTATTCTCACACTGTCTCTTTCACTCTAACAATCTCATCCTCTAGCCAATAAACATTTCATTCTCAGACATAAAATAGAAATGACAGCATTTCACAACCCAGCTATCTGCTTAGAAATTAAAGTTGAAGTTTCAGGTTCTCCTGAGAAAAGTATTGTGACTAAAGGTTTTGGCATAGCGAAATCTTAATAGGAAAGATGCAAGAAATTCAAACTTATTGATTTGCTCATGAATCCTAAAAAAGAGAGAATATTGATAGAAACTTCTCAAGTCTTTTTGTTGTAATCAAATTCAACACATTAAGACTTACCACCAACATTTAAAGCTATGGATAACAGCCAAACTCTAAATAATGATGAAAGTTAAAATCCATAATATTTTGAATTAATTCGCAATGAACAAAATTAAAATTTCAATTTATTAACTAAAATAATATTCGAAAAATCAGAAAATGTGTTTTTGAAGATGTAAACGAACGAATTTGGTCAAAAAGGTCAAACATGAGGGTGAAGCTCTCTGTTTTGCTTATTGGACCGTTTTCACTCAAAATTGATCTGAATTTCTTCGAAAATGTATATTTCGAAAAATTATTTCTTTTGATGCACATTCCACTTTTTCATAAAATCTTCTTCTCTTTGTACAT